GTCACCACAGAATAGGGACACACCTTAGGGTAATAGAAATCCAACCCTCAAATCCGCTTTATCTTTTAATGATGTATTAAATCTTATAAATGCTGGCCCAAACTTAACGCAAGATGGAAATTTTCAGAAGCACGTTATAAGAGCCCTTCCATGCGGAGTATGTCAGCATCAGCTCAACGTTCTGCACAGATAATATGTTTTTCAGTTATTATATAAATTAAAAGCCCATATTATGGTCACAAAGCAGTTTATATTTTTGGACAAACGATACTCTGCGCACATTTGTATGAATTACTTATTATAACTTTATGTTTGCCTGCGTCCACACTGGTGATATCCCCCAGTTGCGTTTTAGGAAGAGAAGGTAGAACATGATAGCAGATCATTGTTTACTGTCACTGGTACTGCTAGTACATCAGCTCCGTCTTCTGTGTGTCCGGCAGCTTCTCTTGTGTCCGTCAGGAACGCGTGCTCCGTGGTTTTTCTCGTCTTAGCCAACAACAGGTCTCGGCAACAGGTATCGCGTCACTAGCAGCAGAATGCCGCCTCCCGTCGGTGGCAGCGTATTTAAGGACCATCGGCCTTTGTCCCCTATTGGCCTCACTGCAGGCAACCATCATGGGGTGTCATCAAGATGACACGTCGCGCCACTGTTACGCTCGCATGTGCATGCGTATTTTCGTGCCTCCTTGTCAGGCGTGACCTCAGGATCCGGCCGACGGCTGTCCTTGCGTCCTCGCGTGTCGGCCATTTGAAGGTCGCGTTCTTTTCCCGTTCTGACTGCCTTTATTGGCATGCGGGCTTCCTTTGTTATCCTGTCCTCAGGACAGCCCGAGTGATGACTCGCGTGCTGGGCCGTCATAAGATTAATATACTGCACTTTTTCGGTAGCAAATTGTGTCCCCAAAATGTCTCTCAAAGTAAGGGTATAGGCAAGCTCCAGAATACTTTGCAATTACAAGATTCTTTAAGCTGTACAGTGTTCATCTAAATGGTATCGTATCTAATCGCTTATTACTGAACTACCTGCTAACACATCTGACCCAAACATTAGACTGGTGCCAAAGTGTGCTGGAATTTCCTGTGTGTTTACGGCAGCCGACTGGCTGCCCCACTACATTATTTATTCCTTATTAGGATAGTTTGTCAGATTTGAAGAATTAAATTTCCCCAGTTGTGAAAAATTCGCGGCTTCGGTAGGATTCGAACCCACACAGCAAGGGAGGCTTTTGTACAGCCAACGCTTTACCACTGCTTTACGAATGCACGCCGATGCTTTGATTTTAATCAGACGTAAGTCGATTTAAATGCCCAAAACACAACACGTATGGAATCCATCATTATGGATAGGTTATAAATTGCTTCATGGAGACTGTAATAACTCGTTAAATGTTCCTTCTATTATTCAGAAATCCACTTCCCAGATGGACGATTTATGCATAAATTAGCTGATTCAGTAAACTCAATCACCAGAGGTGCAGTTTTGTTTGGACCGTCAGTGTTGTGCTATCGCGTCAACCCAAACAAAGCTATTCTGCCTGCTTCCTAGTGCAAATGGCAATACCGTGAAGACTGCATAACGTATTTCTAGGAATCCAGCCAATGATGCATTTGAACAGATTCGGCGATTGAATGCTTCTGGTTGGGCCTGGTTGGAACAAAATTAATCTTGACTGAGATAGCATTTTTGCCGCCATTGGAACTAGGACCCTTTTAGGAAGTCAAAACAACCGGTGGCAGTCGGCGGTTGATAGTAAAACTGAAGTATGAGATTTTGTGCTATTATTTCTCTCCCGTATCCGCGTACTATGCGAATATCGCCTCGGCTGGCTTTAGTTTTAACAGCACACACACTTTGGTATCGCCTGTAACTCTACTATCGGTGCTAAGTCGGTGCCTGCCCCTAGGAAGGAAGGTTTTTGTAGACTGCATAATATGAAAGGAAATTAGTCCCTTTACCCCTGAAGACGCGGCACTTATCGTTCGAAGACAGACGCCTAATCGGCGTCTGATACTTGACCGAATTTTAGAGTACTCATTCGTGCTGCGAACAGAATCCATGTGACCTCTAAATGATTTTTAAAACTACTCGATCTCCTTTTCGAAGGTTATCGTCTTCCAAGACCTGCTTCTTGTAAATTTTGCTTCTGCACAATACGTTCTTACTGTATTTTGCAGTTGTCGATAAGAAGACTAACTGGTCCTGTTTTTCCTCGCGACTTACTATCGAACTCTGCAAGCTACCGTACAGAAACTAGCCGTATAAGCAAATTCACACTGCCGAGGAAGACAAGGGAGACTTTAACGACCATTTGGGCTCATTGCTCCTCACGCACAATGCCCAGGTGGTGCACTACTCAAAGCTCGAACCCACGACTTTTGATTAGTACCCAAATTATGATTGCGTTGTTGGAGAAAATGCCAGCAGACGAAAGAATTAATTGGTGCTCAGTCGTTACTGCGTTTCCCGTTTATTCGCAGTATACAGTGAGATCAGATATATCTTATCAGTGCCTCGGCAAATTTCATCCGATGCTATTTGGTGCCTATGAGATAAAGACTTAAAATTGCGCGCTAGTGAGAGTTTCTAGGATATTTAGGCTAATAATCTTAACCCTTACGGTTACGATCTCAGAGAGTCAATTCCTGCGGAGTAGAGAGAAGTCTTGGAAGGCCAGATTGGTAAGAACAATGCGTTCTGTACAGGAGAGTTAGGAGGAGGTTGCCACTCGGTCTGGCATGCGTTCGACCGTGAGGGTCGTGTGAGATCCCGGGGTAGTCACAACGACCAAAGATGCTGCCTACCTCCACTACCTGTCGGGGCAGATTCCGGTGTCTTCGTCAGCCTCAGGACGATGATTGGCCCGACCAGTTTGGAGAGCGTGTGTGCGCCCCAGTCGCGCGAGGGTAAAGGTTTCGCGTCGCATGCGGGCACACCCCATATATGTTACAAGTGGTCGAAGTTTCGCCATCCCAAAAACGGCCTTAAAAAGATTCTCATGCGGATAACGGGCGTTTAAACTGAAAGAAAATTCCCCTTTTTGATGCCGCTAACAATACTGTCAGCACATTTGGACACAGCTGATGTCAAATATACAAGACTCCTGTTTAATACAATGAGGGTACAAGGTGCCCGGTCTACAGACTTTCAAATAAAGTCTGCATTTCAACTGATGAGCAGCGGTCACATTTCCAGATGTTTTCACTCTCAGAAGTGCAGTTTATTCTAAACTAACTGGAGTCGGTTTAAGTAAACTAAAATATGTCTTTTTGGGTTTGAAAATCAAAAGAAAATTTTACTGACCACTAACCTGTACTCTGGGACGTTTTGTGATGTAAAGCTGCTCCATTTTACGTCTATAGACATTAAATTTCATATTCAATGTCTCCAGTTTATGGTTTTGAATGAGGAATTGAGCGCATTCGCCACTGCATTATGCTAGCAATAACTTTGGCATTCTGCAGCATATAAAGAGGGGCATAGTTGAAGCATCAGTTTTAAAGCTTTGCAAACAATGCCATTTGTTTGCACAAAGTGTCCTTATAGGTTATGTTTGCCATAAAATGTCCGTATTACGAGGTGAATAAGTACCCTTACCAGCTCTTGCCAATTTTATACACACGTTTGTGCTAGTTTATTTGCCAGAAAAAAGTATATCTAACGGGCAAACGCCTTCCGATAAAACAGTTTAGCCAACTTCAAACTTTGGTCGTATTGCCTGACAATTCAATTACGAAACATGTGAGATTTGTCGCTTATTTTGGGGCAAGAATAAGAAAATTCCTCATTACAACTTAATACATTTAAAACTAAGCCATATTTTGCCCTCAGACACAAAAATAACGTTAACGGCTAACCGCCTATTGTACCGCTTACAAAACATTGATGACAGTAGAACCAGCGCCTATCGAACAGAGCAGAGTTCACATCTAGCAGACTTCTGTTTCATACACAAAGTGTACCACGTCGACTGTTTTTTGCAACTAGCTCGCGTCGAAGTGAATTCAACTAGAATCTCACGACTGTGGTTCTCGACGTCCACGAACAGGCAGGCACGGTTGCCGCATTAATGCCTTCTGGGCTGGCGACGAATGGTGAGCCTGCACGCGTGAATTGCCCCCCCCCTGCCCACTGGCCTGACTGCTGTAAAAACTGGCACTTAGGCCCGGCTGGCTGTCCTGGCTGGTCGTGTTCTCCCAAGTCAGACTTCTTCCATCTATTCTCCGTTCCTCTGTGTACACAATATACTGTAAATTCTACTCTATCCTCCACAGACTTCTTCTCCCCTAAAGAACCATGGTCTGAAGATCGCAGTTGCCTGGGTTTAAATTACTAAACCCCCCGCGATATGTTTACCGACTATCCACATTAATGTTTTTACAAACCAACTATTAATTCAGCAGGCCGCATCATGTCGACTGTTGTATGCAACGGCACATGATCGGAAACTGCAAGTAGGCCGATTTTGTCTTTGCGAATACACAGTGTCAGAGTAAGAACGCTGTTCGAACAACCCTAGTAAAAGCCCTGTCTGCTGATCCCCATCTCACGCACAGATAAACGTACTACATATGTGTTTTACGATGGCTCGATAAAAACAAAGGCTGTCAGCTAGAGACAGTTATATTTTACTGCATACAAGTAACACTACACTGTCATGCACCTCAATGGGTGGCTTGCATTGGCCGGTCTCTAGTAGGCGAGGTAAAGGATGGCCAGGTTGGCCAGAATGAGGGCCGCCGAGTGTGACAGCCAGGCG